ATGTACATGTATGTGTGTATATATGTATATGTGTGTGTGTATACATGTTTGAACCTGATTGGGGACCACAGCATAAATTTCATAGCATTTCAAGCTGGGAAGGCTCTTAGAAGTCATCTAGCTTAAGCCCTCTCATTTTACAAATAAGGAAACTGAAGCAGTAGGCAAATTAATTTGCTGCATTGCTCCATCCTTAAGCCCTTCAAAGAGATGGAACCAGAGTAGTGCCGTGCCATGGTTTGGAGTCAGAAGTCCTGGATTCCAATCCTGACTGCTACTCCTTATCTGTGACTTGGCAAGTTATTTAATCTCCCTGAGTTTTCTCATCGGTAAAATGAGGGGATTGGACTAGATGAGCCCTCAATTCCTTTTCAGCACTAAGTCTGTGATCCTGTGGCCTGTACTTATGCCTTCCTTAGGTTGCTCTTGGTTGTTGGGTTCTTTTCCTGGATGCAGGAAGGAAAGGCTTGGCCTTTAGGAGAGTGGTGGGCTTGTTTTTCCCAACACTGCCAGCTCTCCAGCGTCCTGAGGTCAGCCCCAGGGACTGAGTGCCCACTGGGTTGGTGGCAGAGACACCAGGACTATTAGTAACCCGACAGCGGGAGCCCCGACCAACTCCTTTACCACGCACCACCAAACTGCTGTCAGAGAATAGTGATTTTCCATCACTTTCTGACTCAGCTAAATCTGCACCAGTGCCCCAGGGGTCAGAGGCTTTGGGTAACAAAGACAAGCAGCCCAGCAAGGATGGCCCTATCTGTGCTAAGCTTTGCAGCCCTGTCTTCTCAGAGTCTCAGCATCTCTCACCCTTGGCCCATTGCCCATCTACTAGACCAGGGGCCTCAGAGTCCCCTAGGATGCCCGTTGTCAGGCTCCAGAGCCTTCTGCTCCTGGGCTGGGAACAACTTGCCTTGACTGCTCAGTAATCCTTTTATTCAGCTCACGTTGACTCCCTGGGACACTCCCCACCCTTTTCTATCTTCTTTAGGGGCTCAAGCCTAAGCCCTAACTCCCTTTTCTCAGCAGATGACCTCACCTCTTCCTTCAGAGAAACGTCATCTAAGTTTTCTCATTTAGCCTCCTTGCATTGAAAAAAATATCTGTTTTTAACCATTCCTGAGTCCCTTTCCTCCACTCTGAGGAAGATATTCCCTTTCTCTCCAATGTGAAAACCCTTGTCTGACGACCTTGACCCCATCCTCTTCCACCCTCTCTCAGTCCTTACCCTACCAAAGATTCCCTCTCTTGCATGATCAAGCATTCCCTCTCCCCCCTAGCCCTCTCTCCCCATTCTCCCAACAACATGCTCATGCCCCTCTTAATCTAAAAACAAAAACAAAAAACCAACCAACCTCTTTCCCTCTAGCCTTCTGCCACTTTGTGCTAGGGCCAAACCTCTTTCCTTTTGCTATAAAACTTTTCAAAAGGATAGTCTAAGTCTCTCTCTACTGACTCCCTTCCCATTCCTTATTTAATCCTTTGCAATCCAAAGTCTATATTCACCTCTCTCACAGTGCTACTGAAAATGCTTTTTCCACAGTCATCAGCAATCTCATCCCCAGGCCTTTTTCCATCCCTTATCCTGCCTAGTTGTGGCATTTAACATTGTAGACTGCTTTCTATTTCTTGATTCTTCCTTGACTTCCATGATACTACACTACATTGGTTCTCCCTTACCTGTCTCTCATTGGCTCCACGTCCTCATCCTACTCTCTTAATATGGGTATCCCTGATGGTTCAGATGTCAGCCCTCTACTCCTGTAGGTATATACTCTCTCCTTCTGAGATGTCATCCATTCCTCTGACTTCAACTATCATTTAAAGAAATGCAAGGCCAGGAAGAAGAATAGAGACTGAGTCATCTGTGATTTCCTAGGTCTAAGCACCTCTCAGAAGAGGAAATTTCTCCTGCCAGCACAACTCATAAGCTTAGATAGTTACCTAGAGGAGTGTTGTCAAACTCAAATAGAAATGAGGCCACTAATCTGTACATAAGGATCCCTGAGGGACAGGTATTGACTTAGTTTTAACATATAATATTATGTGTTTCATTGTATTCTTATTCATTTTAAAAATATTTTCCAATCACATTTCAGTCTGGGGCTATGCTCAACAGTGTTTCAGGCTGAATACCGCTGGTAGGCCATGTTTGACACCTCTGGCCTAGAGCCCTGAGAGGTTAAGTGAATTGCCCTGTGTCACACGTGAGTATGTTTCAGAGGCATGCCTTGACATCATGTCTTCAAGGCTGTAAGGCCATCTCTCTCTCCACCACAGGCCAGGCTGAGTCTCTCACTTGAATACAAATGATCTCTAAATTTACATTTCTAGCTCAGTTCTCTCTTTTGAAGGTCCAGTCCTAAATATTTAATGGCCCACTGAATATCTCCATCTCAATATCCTAGCCCAACCTCAAACACAACATGTTTAAAAATCAGACTCATCATCTTTCCGTCTTCCTGATTTCTTTCTTTCTGTCAATAGTGCCACTAATCTCCTAGTCACCCAGGCTTGAAACCTCAGAATTATCTCTGATTCTTCCTCTCCCCTCCCCACATCTCATCAGTGACCAAGCAAGTCCTATGGATTCTTCATTTTGATTCTTCCTTTGCAATGTTTCTCCAATCTGTTTTCTTCTTTCTATGCCCATCGCCAACACCTCAGTCCAGATCCTCATCCACCTCTTGGCTGTTCTATTACTATGGCCTCCTAACTAGTCTCCTTCCTTCTGGGCTCTTCACCCCAATCTATCCTATGCTTTGCTGGTAGATTCATATTTCTAAAGCACTGCTTTGTTCACTTTCCCCTCACCCCCAACCCTTCAAAGGCTCTTCATTGATGGCCCCACATGTTGAAGGAGAGCACCCATATTCCTTTTCTCCCAGAAAACAATAGATTTAGACCACATGAGAAAAATGCCCCATGCGCACTCCTGCCTATGTATCTGCGCTCCTTCCATTCCCTCTACTTCTACTGCCCCTGCCTCCTCCTTTCTCATTTTAGAATCAGACACAAATACTTTTAGAGTAGGAAGGTACCTTTGATAGTCTATAATCCCTTCTTTTATAGATAAAGAAACTGGTAACCAAAGTAATTAATAACTGAAGGTCATGTAGCCAATTAATGGCACAACAGAAACTAGAACCCAAGACTCCTGATTCTTGATTCAGTGAAATTTTCTTTCTTTCTTTTTCTTTCCTTCCTTCCTCCTTTCTATTTTCTTCCTTCCTTCTTTTTCTTCCTTTTTTCTCTTCTTTCTTTCTTTCTTTCTTTCTTCCTTCCTTCCTTCCTTCCTTGCTTCCTTTCTTCTCCATTCTGGGGGCTTTCCTTTTAGTGCCAGACTGAGCACAGATACCCCAGTAGGCTTTAGCCTTACTAGGGCTCCAAACCCCTGAATCAGTTGATGCACCAGTCTCAGACTCCCAGGGTACAGGTGGATGCTACTATACTTGCCCTTCAGTGCATTTTCTACCACACCCGCATAACCTCTCATGTAAGTCATGTACTGCCTTTAAGACACAGCTTAGTCCTTACCTCCTCCTTTTTCAGACATTTCCCAGATGTATCAATCTAAGTGCTCTCCCCTTTCCAAAAACTCCTATAGCACTTCTTCTCTATTTCATTCATTTGGCCTTATCATAAACAGTTTTGTATTTTGGATTATCTTTTTATCCTACTTTCCAAAGTAGATTGTGAGTCCCTCGAAGACAGTATTCTCCATACTTGTTTCACCCCATCATCTAGCACAGTGCTCTACAAATCTCAGGTTATTATTGAGTTATTTAAGTTATTATTGTGTTAATTAAGATCAATTCACCTGAAAAAGTAATAGTTTCATTGAGAAAGGTTTTCCCAGGGCACCTGATTTGTCCAACATTTTGAGAGACCCTCCCTTAAGTATTGGTCCTTAGGTGGGTCTTTCAGGCTGGTGATCAGACACCCTGGAAACCTGAATCATCCCTCAAACCTGAGACTTCTATCTGGTTCCCTTTACTCTGGGTCAATTCACAAAGCTCCAGCCAAAGCTTTATACATAGTAGGCACTCAGTATATGTTGGTTGATAGAGTTGAAATGAACTGAATTCATGGGATCACGGGATTTTATACTAGAAGGGGTATAGAGATACAGTTTGGATATTGCTTGTTTTACCCATGAGCAAATAGGTCCAGGAAGGTTATTCAGCGGGGCAAACTGATATGAATAGCTATATGGGGAAAAATTTTTCTCCAGGTAGAGATTGATCTCTCATGGATCCAGACTGGGGCTCTGGCCTGTCTGAGGCCAGTAGGTAGGAGCAACAATAGAAAAACTTCCTTTGATGAAGGCTTCACACTGGGACCACATGTGATTTTTCAACCATGAGACAAAGGGCCAAGAGGGGGGTTCGCACCTGTGAACCATCTTTTGCCCTGTTCTTACTTTCTACTAAGCAATCCTTTCTGGTCCCCTGGAAACATCCTGGCATCTTCCTTTTTAGCTAGGGTGCCTTCCCCTCTGCCTTTCTATTCATCAGAGCACTTTCATGGGGAAAAACCCTGCTTGTTGTCTCTGGCACCCCCCCCCCCCAGTTCCTATGTACCTTGTTTACTGAGGTGAGGGGGAGGGAGAGAGAATAAAACTCCACCACAGAGAGTGCAAGTCTCCCTCCCCCAACCTCCTAGAATGGGAAATGCTAGCTACTATGCCATGCTGTGCTGTATAGGGCTGTTGCCTGGTCTGCCTTTTCTATCCTTGCTGCTGAAATGAAGCTGCAATTTGGATGATGCCCAGGGGTAGGACAGAATGCAGATTGCCTCCTCACTGAGCTACACTAGATTGGATTGGCAGAGCCAACAGGAGGGAAAACTTGCTCCTTGCAGCAGTCAGGGCTGGGCAACTGGGAGCAGATGGATGAGAGAGGGAGCTAAGGCGCTAGGGAGAACAACAAAAAAATCAAAGCCAGTGGCTGGGCTGCCCTGGGGTCAACCAAGTTTCTGACTTGCCCCACTGTTTGTTGCAGGATCATCCGGACCAAAGTTCAGCAGCCTTTCCACCCAACCCCAGATGGGACAGGCACAGGAGTGACAGCTCCTGGCCATACCATAGGTAAGAAGATAAGAGGACTTAGGGGATGGAGACACAGATCTTGGGTCCTGGGAAAATCCCAAGACAATGTAAATGAGAGATGTTCCTGTGAAATTCACCCCAACAGCAAAGGGAGAGGCGGAACAGAGACCCCTTGATGCAGTCTGACTCCCCTGCTTTCCTCAGAGGACACCAAGGAGCTTAGGATTTCCCCTTTGGAAAGAGATAGATGATCCTCTCCCTAATCCTTTTGCTCTCCCTCCTCCTTTCTCTTATCACTTTACTTCTCTTTCTCCTTCCTTCTGTCTTCCCCCCCCATCTAGTACTGTCCCTTTGCTGTCTGTTTCACCCTCACTTATCCTTTCCCCTTTTATTCCTTCTTCCTGCCTCATTTACTCCCCTTTTCTTCTCAATCTCTACCTCCCTGTTTTTTCCTCTTCTTTCCTCCTCCTTGTCTTTCCCCATTCCTATGTCTGTCTCTTACTTTCTAACCCTACCTTTTCCTAGGTCTCTATCTTTCTTTCTCATTTTCTCTCTGTTTTGGATTTTTCCCTCTCCCATCTTTTTTCTGTCTATATGAAGTCCGAGGTGTGGAGTTCAGACTTGAAGGGTAAGAATTAAGGAAAAAGATGCTTGCTCCAAGGTGATTTCATCTGGCCTAGGAAATGGGACCAGGCTATATGTGGAGGTATCTGTAGAATGGCCTTTGCTAAACTTTCTATCCTTAGTTGAATTTATCTTGACCTGTCTTGTATCCCTGCAATATCCTGGAGAATGTCTTGTCTTTGTGATGTAAGGAAGGCCTGGATTTGGGCCATCATTACCACAGAACAGGTTGTGGAGATGAGGGAGAATTAAATGGGGTTGAAATGTAGCAATGGGGATGGCTCATACTGAGCACCAGAAAGAGGAAGAGCTCATGGGCTCCCTCTGAATGCTGCCTCGGGTTTCTGCTCTCCTGACAACCTTTCCACTTTGCCTTGTCTAGTTCCCAGCACGGCCTCCCCTCCTGTCTCCAGCGCCTCCAATGATCCTGTGGGCTCATACTCTATCAATGGGATCCTGGGGATTCCTCGCTCCAATGGTGAGAAGAGGAAACGTGATGAAGGTAGGGAGGAGGATAAAGGGTTGGCCTCCTCTTTGCGTGCTTTGTCCCTGGGCACAGGGCTCCGGTTTCTGGCCTGGCCTCGCAGCTGCTCTTTCGTGAGATCAATTTTAGTAGTGAAGCCTGGTCCCCTCACTGCCCTGCTGGCTTCCAGACAGAGGTAGGGTGCAGGCTCTGCCATCAGCTCCGCCATCTGCTCACCTACCATTGGGATGAGCTCACCCTATCCCCATTTGATTCTAGGTGGAACAGGAACCACTTGCCTTAAGAAGGTTTAGGGGGGCAGAAGACACATAAGGCCAAGGAGTTAGTACCAAATCTCCTCCTATTTCCTTCTATTCCTTTTACTTGACCCCAGGCTGTCAAGGTGGGGGAAGATGCCATCCACAACAGGTCCTGGTTTTCTGTCTTTGTGACATCTAGAAAACTATCCTATTTAAACAATAGCACAGGTGGAGGGGAGCTGAGGTGGGTAGGTGTCTTTCTTAGCCCCATAATAAGGAGTTACTTCTTCCATTTGCTTGGAACATTCCAACACAGAGTCAAGGTAGCAGGAGGGAAGAAGAAGGAAGGAAGGAGGGCTGAAAGACATTTCAGTTCTTTCTGAGAACTTTTCCTTTCCCCTTCTTTGGCAAATCCACTTACCCCTTTAAAGACTAGAAAATTGTAGATTTTTTGAGATCGTTTAGGTTGTCTGGGTCTGCTTGGATGGTAGTCTTATAGGCCCAGCCTTAGCAGGATGTGGGACTCCACATTCCCCAAAGCCCTGTCTATATACTCCCAATGGATCTGAAGCCTCCTGGTGGAGAGGTTGTGTGTATAAGAGCTCTGGGCTCCAGACTGAGGGGATAGTGTATGTGAGTACCCCAAACCTGAGGGGACAATGTTATGTGAAAGCCTCAAGCAGAGAAGGTCCTGTGTGAGGATTCCAGGCTGTGTGAGAGCCCCCAGACTCCAGACTAGGGGACAAGATATGAGGGCCTCAGAATATGAGGGCAGTAGGCATGAGGGCCCTAGGCTGATGGGACAATGTGTTCCAGGATTCCAGACCCCCAACTGAGGGGACAGTGTGTGTGAGAGCCCTAAGCTATGAGCACAGTACGTGTGATAGCCCCAGGCTGAAGGGACAGTATGTGTGAGGGCCACAGGCCCTACTCTAAGGGAGCAGTGTGCATGTATGCAAGCTCCAGGCTTCAAGCTAAGGGTCCAAAGTGTGCTAGGGCACTCGATGTATAACAGTGAGGAACACTGTGTATAAAGGCCCCAGGCTGAGGGGACAGTGTATGTGAGGCCCCCAGACCCCAGGCTGAAGGGACAGTATGTGAGAGCCCCAGGACTGGCAAGACAGTGATGACCCGATGCTGGATTCCTTCCAGAAGCCCTAATGGCCTCGTTTCACAGGGAAACAGCTTGTCTGGCTCTATTTCGCCTTCTTCTGAAATATCCAAACCCATTTGGCTGCCACGGGCTACACCACTCACTAAATTTCATTTTGGTTGTCTTGGCCGCTGCAGTGCTGCAGGAGGGTGAGAGGTGGTGAGAGAAAGATTCCCACCCCTAAATCTCACCAGGGTTAAGGTTGTATCAGAGAAGAAAAGGCGTATGTATCCATTGCCTCCACCCAGTCTTGGGGATTCTCATTCCCTTCCAATCCCTGGTACATTAGATGAACTGAGGGATTTTGAAGTCTATTTCAAATCCTCAAAAGCATTCGAATTTTAGCCTGCCTTATCCCTCCTATTCCCTCCAACTCCACTATCCAGGGATGTATCTCCTCTCCCAAATACCCATTTTCTATATATTGAAGCCTGGCCTACTTGGTGGGGGGTAGGGGGTGGTTGAAGGTGTAGAAGAAGATAGGGGCAAGTCATGGCACCATTTTCTTTTTCCTCCTTACTCATTACATGCTGCTGGGATGAACTTTGAATGGCTTTTTTCTCTGCTCCTCAGGCCCTGGTAGACTGAACCAATTTGAGCCAATTTGCAGCAGGTTTTGGGAAAGGCAGGAGAGTATAGTCACTGTATGCTAGGCCTGGCTAGAGCAGACTACTTTTCTCCCTAGAGAACTGACTATATTTGTTTTCTATGGTTTTTAATATCCTTGCAACCAAGGTACCCTTGGAAACTGAACTGATGAGTGGGAGGAGAGGTCAGAAGCTTGTCTCTCTCTCTCTCTCTCTCTCTCTCTCTCTCTCTCTCTCTCTCTCTCTCTCCCCTCTCTTTCTCTCTCTCGCAAAGATTTCCCTCACTCTAGAAAAGGGACATCTACTAGACGGATAGATTTTGGGGAGGGAAAGGGTCTGTGAACTTGGATGGAAAATAATTACATCTTTATTTTCATTATCCTCTACATGAAGTTTGATATTTCCTTCAATTATGAAAGTAGACAATGAACATTATTCTGAGAAGTCCGTAGGCTTTCCAGACTGCCAGAGGGTTCCATGATTAAAAAAAAACATGATAAGATAGTTTCCCTTCCTGTGTGAAGGAGAGAGTTTCCATGGGGGAGGCTGAGTGTCCCCAACCCAGTCAACTCTGCAGGATTTCCTCTGAGCTCAGTAGCACTGGAATACTCCAGTAGGGATGGAGAGGAGAAAGTGGAGGCAGTTCTTTCCCAGCCCTCATTCAGGGCCTACAACGCACAACCAGTTCTGGCCTGTGTTAGGTAGCAACCAGATGATTAAAAAGAGTACAGATAATTATATGTCAAGATGATGTAGCCCAACTCCCCAGCGAGGCAAAGGTAGCAAAACAGCCTGTAGTCAGGCTGCACAAGGGGCCTAAGGGAGGGGCTACTCAAATGCCCAGGTATATCTGAGTGCTTCATCCACTGGGTCTGATGGGATAGAGGACAGAGGCAAGAAGGGGACCAGACCTGGGCAGAAATATGGGAGTTGGGGGGGGTAGTGGAAGAACTTGGCCTCCTAGGGGCTCCCTAGGAGAGTAGCTCCACGTTGACCACCTTGGTCTCCGTTTGGCATTGGATATGATTGGCATCTTCCATGAGGGGCCACCCGGGGCCCAGGGCAGGTCTATTAGGCTGGCAGAAAATTACTGAAATCAGAAGCACCAGCCCCTGGGGGCAGGCCTCAAGGAGCTTCCTCTTGGCTTAAAGGAGGTTGATTTTCCCTTCCAGCTCTGCCTCTCAGCACAGAGTGCTGAGTGCAGCCCATTCTTCAGCTCTAACAATGTCACAGGGGTGGGCATTAGCGAGGACAATCGCTGCAGTACGTACTGGCATTATTGGAGACAATCTCAGCAGGAGTTATTGGTGTTCACAGTGATAATACCCAGAGCATTATTGGCATTGGCACTCATAATATGGACAGTGTTATTAGAATCTGCAGCAGTCATAGCTGTGGGGTTATTAGTATAAGACCTATCAGTCTGGGCTCTGTGGGAGAGAAGTGGTGTTATAGCATGAGTCAGAAGCCTCTTGACCAGGCCTTCAACGGGGTGTAGTGGGGTGGGGGAGGTTGCTATGGGAGATTGGTGGGGAAAATTCTCTCCTAAAGGGTGCTATGATGGTGTGGCCCAGTGCAAGCCTGGGATGGTGGCAAAGCAATGGGTCAGTTGGAGTGTGTCTGTGTGTCCATCCATGACTCTGAGAAGGCAGTGTACCTGATTTACTGCTGATGAAACATTCATCTTTAAGCATCCAATTAATACTGGCACGGTTGGATGGGTGGGGGGCTTCCTGGGGCTTTCGGTGGCACCAGACAAAAAAACGTGTTTGTATAATAGCAATAGAGATATAAGAATGTGTATTTTATCATCGTGACAGGGGAGTGGACCCACATTGGCCAGTCCTCCTTTTACATCTTTATCCAATAACCTCCATCTGGGTTTTGGAACAGTGTCGTCCATTAAATGTTGCAGGCTGCAGCTTGAGAAAAGGAAATTAGTCACAGAGTAGATCCAGTAGATCTGTTAGAAGATCCTAATGAAGTCACATATCTGTTGCTGGGGGCCAGGGAGGTGGGGAGAGAATGAATGTGTGTGTGTGTGTGTGTGTGTGTGTGTGTGTGTGTTATCCTACCAAGTGTGAGGTTGCCAGAGGCCAGAAGTTTGCACTGAATTAATTAGACATCCAGTGAATTGTGGTGTCCAGCAAATACAGTTATGCTTGGTGGGTTGTGTGGCTGCAAATGGCAGATTCCTCTCAGTTTCTTTAATATCTCCCTTCTGATTTGGATGAAGCTGTAGCCTGAAAAAGTCGTTTATTTTCTCGGCAAGCATTTCACGGAGAAGTCCCTCTGGGTGTTGTGCTGATTTGACTTAAAGCAAGCAGGGAGATTAGGATGTGGACAGGAGTAACACCTGAGGCTTCTGTCTCAGGGCCTGTGGTTGGGGGCAGGGGGAGAAGGAAGAGGCCCCCAGCTGAGGGCTGCAGAGCAGAGCTTGGGGATCAATAAGGTCCACTAGTCCTGGACCAGCCTGACTCCCTGTCCCTAGAGCCCAGCAGTTCCTGAAAGTGGCTGAAGGCCTGTGCAGGCTTTTTTATTGGCAGGTAGTTATGAATGTATCTGGGAGTAGGCCTGTGAGGAGAGGCCATGAATTTCAAAGGCATAATGGGCAGAACTATTGAAAAGGGGAAAAGTGAAGTCATATTAGACAGAAACTTCCTTGAACATGGCTCACACAGCCCTTCTGCAGCCAGGCTCTTTGTTGGGGCAGGTTGCCATGCTCAGGACCAGTGTGGTAAAGGCCTATACATAGGAAATTTGGCTCTTGTCCATCTGTATCTGCTAATACATGTTTGACTGAGCCATGGTTGTGTCTCTTGGTATACCATAAACATCTTTAGGCGTAAATAAGTAGATAGGCAGTGGCACAATGCAGAGCACCCTAGTCTCAGAGTTAGGAGACCAGGATTCAGATTCTGCCTCTGACTACTTAATTCCTGGGTCGAGAGTAATTTAACCTCTCTGACCCTCAGTTACCTCATCTGAGCCAGGTTACACGTAAAATGAAGGAACTGAACTAGATGGCCTCTTCCTTCT